TATATATATATATATATATATATATATATATCACACTTATAATATTTCTATATCTCTATTAATCTATTCTATTAACCTAAGAGTAAATTCTAAGAATGAATTGCTTATAGTTATTGATAAAATTGTAATCAAATCATCTCCTTAATTAATCAATATTAATGCCAATAATATCAAAAGTTGGTGGAATTAATAAACTTATAGCAATAACAATACCAATGCCAATAACAATATATTCCTTTGATAGTAGTATTATAACATTAATCCCAATTCTTTAAGTTCAACCTTATATGTGACCCTCCTGAGTTAAGTAATTATATGAAAATGTTCTGGGTCCCCTTGGTCCGGTAAATCTTCTTTCTCTCTCTCCGGTTGTTTCTTTTAGTAATGTCCAAAGATTAACATCAGAATTCTCCAATAGTCAGCTCTCTTGTTATCCAAGGGGTATCAAGTCACCAAAAAATTCTGTTTTCTCTTAAGGTATACCATGGCGGGGGGGATTCCAGGTTTCACCAATAGATGTCACTCTTCCACAAGCTAACCAGATGCAGACTAACCAGAAACAGATGTGTCAAGAAACACTGCCATAAATCAGCGTTTATATCTTCTTCTTCAAATCTTCAGTAGTTAACTCATGTCCCCCTAAAGGCATCCATGTAGTCAGAGTTATTTACAGCCGGACTTTGTTATGTTAACTGATTAAGTTTAGATTCAGCTTCTCAGACAGTTCAGAGAAAAAGAAGAAATAGCCTCCAGCCTTCACTCAGCATATTCCTCTCGCCACTACAAAGGGGGTGGAAAAAAACAACTACCTCACTCCTTCTTTGAGCCCCTAAACTCTTGAGCTGTTTTGGAATAAAAATACCTTCCACCAAGATCAAGAACTGTTAAACCGCTCGTGACTCCAGCAGCTTCTCTGTAATAAATCCTCGCTTACTTTGAACTGCTAACTGCTATTGCTGTCAGCTGCTAACTGCTATTGCTGTCAGCACTCTGGGACGGCCTTTTCAGATCACCCTCTTCCACACCCGGGATTATGAAGGAAATTTCAAGTGCAGACCATAAACTGCCATCCTATGGTCGTGCCAAACCAACCTTCTCTTCAGTCTTCCCTACAGGAAACCTTCGGTTTACAAAAATCTTTCCAGAAACCTCTCCGGATGCCAGATCCAGATTCATGGAGCTCTCTGTTCAAGCAGCCATTCGGCTGGCAGCTAGCCTCGCCTCCGAAACATTTCCTGTGTAGCATGTGTTTCAATAATTCATCTTCAAAGTCTTATTTTGCATTTGTATTAACACTTAAAATTCTTTCAGAAGCATTTGACCTGGGTCTTTTGCTTCATAGGACAATTAGCACCAGCAATTGAGTACTGGGTGGGGCAGTGGGCAATCAGCAGTGGGTGCGGCAATCGCAGGGGCTGTGGGGCCCAGCAGCTCTCATGGCAACTCTCACAACTGCTTTTTACTCGCAGGGGTGTAATGGGGATTGGTAGCAGTGTGCAGCCAGAATCATGGAGGCGTGCAACCGAACTGCCCACTTGACATTCAGGGCAGAGCCAAGGCACAGAGGCAATGATGTCGGGTGTCAAAATGGAAAGCAAACCATTTCAGAAACCATTTTAAAGCCTCTGTCTATTATGAAAAATTGCAAAAAAAAAAGAATTTACAAAGCTGAAAGGACATAATTTTCAATCTTTTTACATAGATTAAAAGGAAATTCATTGAGTGATAGGTAAGCTTGTGATAGATTTCTAAATCTAGGGTTTAAATTTTAAATTCTTAAAAAACGAAACTAAAAAACAAAACAAAATAAAACTCCAAAGTGATTAATAAAAATGAAGTTTGGTTGAACCTGGAGTGCACGAAGGGTTGCATATAGTGAAACCTCTGATTCCCAACTGATTGCAACTGACTGTAAAAATGTTGGTTTATATGCTATCTACTCACAAAAATATCAGCTGCTCTGAGTATGTATGGTTAATGGTATCTCTTAATAACAGAGAGGATTTCATTAGTTTTGATTGCATACCAGCTGTTTTTTGTCTATAATGCCCCCACATCTGCAGAGCAAAGAAAACTGCAGATGTTAGAAACCCAGACTAGGAATATACATGATCATTTTTTTGGTTGCTAGCATATAATTTTGCATTTAACCATATAGGCATTTAATCACTAACTGATTGACCTAACCCTACAGTTAAGAATTTATATCAAATTTATTGTGGATATTTTTACACACACATGCACATAAGTACATAAGTACACACGACACATAAAACATTCTATGAGATTCAATAAGTAAGGAAGGATTTACATTATATCTCAAATTTGTACATTTATTTTAAAAAATAGGACTGATAACTTACACCTCTGCCATTAAATCTCTGTTCTTTGAATTTAGATGCTTTTTGAACTGGTCCAACCAATTCCCGTGAAATGAGTAATGATTCATTCACTCCTGATGGGACATAAAATAGAAGAAACACACAGCTATTTAAACATTGCTTTAAGTGGAACATCTGAAATACAGTAGTTAAGTTATTCAAATTTGTTGGATTAAGAATGACTAGAATTAGGAGATGAAACATTCAAGACAGATTATTTTCATAAAAAATACTTGCCCAAAGCATCCAATTTATTTTGAAGATACATACAAAATTAATCAAAAAAACAAATAACTACAGTGTACTTTAGATTTCTAACAAAGCATCAGCAGTTTCTTATATCCAGAATGGGACAATTGGCTGCAGCCACATGGCCATGCCCACTTCACTCCATCCCTAGACCACTACCACGGGAACCTCTCCCCATCCCCTCTGTCCCAAATGCTTAACCCCAGCCCTTTTCCTAGACAATTCACTGAGGGAATTTGTACCCTTCTACAGCCCGTGCTCCTCCCCCAACAATCTTGCCCCAATATTTTTCCCTGCTGCCTGGTCACAGGCGATGCAGAACTACACCAAGTACCATAGGTGATTCCCCATATGGGACAATTAGCCACACAAATCAGATGGGTGCACTGCCTGCCTGCTACCCTGGTTTTGTTGCCAGCCCAGAATTCATCCTGTGATGCCTTGCCTCTGGCCATATACAGATTGCTTCCATTTGCCAGGTAGTGAGCAGTTGCAACAATGTGAAAGGTGCAGAGGGGGACAGTGGATGGAGAGAGACACTTGCATAACCACTTCTGAAACATCTTGCCAAGATTACTGTAGAGAATATTCCAGGTAATTGCCAGGCATCAGTCCAGTATCAAAGGCACTAAAACAAAAAGTGTGTGTGTGTGTGTGCGCACGCTCTTTTAAAAATTGGAAAAATGGTGGGGCTGAAAATAAATAAAAAGTGACAATATTGGCAAAGATGAGAGTAAAAATAAAACAGGATTTAAAGTTGTGAAAAAGTAATGTACTTGGGAATGACTCTTAGTAAAAACATTCTAAGTTATATAAACATAGTTACGTTAAAATGTGGAATGAGATAAAGATGGACATATTCAGATTAGAAAAAGTGCTGTTATTAAAATGAATGTGTTACCTAAAATGTTATTTCTTTTTCAGACTATACTGATATTGATCAAAGACCTTCCTCTGAAATAGTGGCAGAAAAATATATCCAAATTTATTTGAGCGAAAAAAACCCTCTAAGAATTAAATATAATGGGAAAGAAAGTGGTGGCCTGTCAAACCTCAGACTATATTACAAAGTCTATCATTTGATATGCTTGAAAACTTAAAAAACTTTTAAAAACTCAAAGGTATTAGATCTTAGGTTTTGATTTGAGATTTGGGTGACATGCTTACTTATGGCATGATAAGGTAAAGCTTAAACCTGATTTTAAGATTCATTCTATTAGGCAACCAATTGGGCACATATGGATGAAATACAATAGAAGATTGGCTATTAAGATACCACAGGAAGCACTACATAAATTATTATCACAGCATATCTTTACATTGAAAGGAGATGCTACTGGAATTTAAATCAATGATGTTTACTAATACTTTTACTCAACAAATATTGAAAACTAATTCTAGATTCAGATTAGCCTTAAGCATGTCATTTTTGATATTAAAGATCAAAATTCAAATAATGATAATATGTTATTAATTTGAATTTTTTTGCATTGAACATTGAAATGAAATACACCAAGTGTACTTGCATAATCTACCTTTATCAGTTGTTGTTCCTTTCAGTCTTTTCCTGTCTTCTGACACGGTATTCTAAGAGGGAAAAGTATATAAACATAATGTTTTGAACTGGAAGAAAAATATATGGTTTGGTGGAGCCTGAACTACAATCCCAAGAAACTCACTATTAGTCACACTGAGCTGGAGCTGTTCAAAGTTTTAATTCAGCCACATCTAGAGCACACATCAATTTTAGGAATTTTTAAACCTTTAATATCTATCTAATCTATATGTATGCTACATTTAGATAGATAGATTTTCTATACATCTTTCCATTATTTATGGTGTTAGTAAAATACATGTACATTACATTAACAGTTAAATAACAGTGCTGTTTGTCTTAGAAAATACGTAAATGCATTTATGAAACAAAGAAAAAATTGAGCTATATACCTTCATTAATGATAGAAAAATTGCCACACACTGAAAACATTAAAAAATGTTTTGTAAAAGTGTATTTTATAGACAAGTAACATCTAATTAAAGCCTTCTTGAAAAATAAACTATAATCACATACTTCAGACAAAGTAATATCTGACACCCCCCCCCTTTTTTTTTGCTGGTGTTTGAAAGAAAGAGCCTAAATTCCAACCTCATGCTAAGAATAATAGGCTCTCTTAACTTCTTTCCTGTATCTTTGCACCCTCACCAGTTTGAATCTTTAATTTATATTCTCCTTGTCTATGGAGTTTGCACAAACATTTTAGCTAAATTAGAAACCAAGCTTGATTCCCCCAAAATATGTTATTTTAAAACTAGTAAACAGCAGCTTTTTGTTGCCTTAGGAATACAAATAGTTTGTTAATGAGTCAAAATCATGGAAAATGCTTTAAAATTATGGACATTTTGCAGCACTATTGACTGTTTTCAGTATCATGAAATAAAACATATTTCTGCAGAAATTGCATAATAGTTTAAAATATTTCATATAGAAAGCAAGTACAACACCAGACTTTTATTTATTTTCCTTACCTGAAATGAACATTTCTTTTGTAATAGGAAAAATTGGGGTAGGGAGAATTCTGATTTCCACTTCTTAGGATTCTCTTTCATTTCATAAATACCTTAGGAAGTAATGGGCTAAAATAGTAAATTGATCTACAAAAACACATAATATACTACATCATGGAAGATAGTAATAATACTATATTCAACACTTGACAGTCTGAGATTTCCCATCTCAGATATGTTGATTCCATTTCAGAATAAAAGCAATGAAACTAGGTATTTGGTTTACTGTGAGGAGTTGCTCCCATCATCAAACAATGAACCCAACAAAAATGAACTCATTTTCTTTCTGACAGAAAGTCAGGCTGAACATTTGGAACTCAAAGGAGCTACCAAAAATGGTTTATATCCATCTTTACTTACTACTTTATATTTGTATCTGGATAAAAATCCATTTTCAAATGAACAAATGACACTTGACAGTTAATCAACTGTCATTCTCTGTTACTTGGCTTTCTTCCCTTTGGAAAGTATTATGAGTTTTTGTCCCATCAATACTCAGACAACTTATAATGTTCAAAATGGAATTATCTGATAATAGGACATATAAATAAGATGAGATACTCATTAAGAGTTTTTCTCACAAAATATGAGAAGAATACAGTTGAAATGTGTATTGTTGAGTGATTGTATGCAAGATGTAAAGATATATAATAATATATGCAGATAAATAAATATAAGAAGGAATAGGCCCAGTTAAGTGAATCAAGCATTCATATGCCTCTGTACAACATGTTAAACTTTCTATTCATTCTTAATAAATTCTCAAAATATGCCATCAATGAATCAAAATTCTACAGTCATTCAATCTAGTATTTATCCAGTATACTGCAGAGAATAATGAAAAAGAGATATTATTTTAAAAACTGCAAACTTTTTAAATTGTGAAGCTCTACTTCAGGATCCTTTTTAGATGATAAACTTATTTCTGCATGTTTTCTTAAATCCCATTCACATTTTGCTAAAAGACGTAAGGCTGTTTCATCATCTTCATCCACTGCCAGATACTTTTTTGACATAGAATTAATATATTCAACTCTTGGATGAATAAACCTAGAATGAGAAAATATGGCACAACAGCCTAATCAAAGAACTATCAAGACCACTCCCAGCACCGACAGGGCATACCAAATATATAAAATGGGAACAAACCTTAGTCCTTTCTAACACATTAATTGACAAAAAAAGACAGAGGGGTTCATTCTGGCTTCACTTGACCGAGCCTTAAGTACAAAACCAGAATTGAGAAGACAGCAACAGACAGCAGATATACTGGGTTATGGACAGACCAAACTGCAAAATTTTTGCATGCACACAAAATGCCCTCTCTCAGTGAATCAGTAGTAAACCGGTTGGGAACCCACTACTGAATAGCAACATTGATTGGAATATCTGCTGAATGGCAGGGAGGTATGCCAGCACTTTAAAGTGCATGCTGCACCCCAGCCATTCAGCGGGACCTGCTGAATGGCTGGGAGGCGCGCTGGTACTTTAAAGTGCATGTCGCCGCACCGGGCCTAGCCATGCAGCCCGCTGTATGACCAGGGCGGCGGCATGCACTTCAAAGTTCCAGCACGCCTTCCGGCCACTCAGCGGGACCTGCTGTATGGCCGGGGCGGTGGCATGTACTTTAAAGTGCTGCGCGCCGGGCTGGGCAGGCGGGAGATGGCGCAGGCGGCCGGAGCCCCTTCTGTCATCCTCCCTGAGGAGCCACCGAGAGGTGACAGCGGCGGCCATGTCTCGCAGAGTCACAGCAGCGTCTCCGGCATCGGTAGCTGCTGACCATGCCTCCTACCTGCTCCCTTCTCACTGCTTCTCCCCACCGCCACGCTCTGCCGCCTCGCTCCCCCACCTCCTCCGTCCCCACCGCTGTGTCCAACAGAGGCGTCTCGCATCTATGGCGGACATAGACGCGAGACGCCTGACGGACACAGCGGTGGGGACGTTGCTTCTCACCGCTGCCACGCTCTTGCCTCACCAACCGTAATCCTCACTGCACGTCACTGATAACAATATAATAGTATAATAGTTTTATATAAAGTATTGTATATTATTTATTTTATATACAATATATGCAATATTATAATAAAGCAAAATAATATAATAATAATGTTAATAATATTATCTGGCAAAATTGGCTAATCACTGAAGTTTAGAATCAAGACCTGAAGCTTAAGAATGCATCTAGTGCAGCCCAGATAGAACAGTACCGGAACTTCCATTTTTTATTTATATTTTATCTAGATGTAAGGTTTATCGTACTATTTTTAAATCTCATTCCAAAAGGTTTTCTAGCTTTTGTAATCATGGCTTGGGAAACAAAAATAGAAAAACAATCTCATTGCAATAACATGAATTTCATTAGAATTTTAGTAATGGTTTCCAACATTTTCAAAACTGTGCTATTGTCATTTCTCCAGTTTATTTTTTTAATACCTGCTAGGTTTAATTCTTTTGGTTAAAACTGCAGATTTCTTGAATGCATAGGCCTGATCTGAGGTAAAATACAAAAGTGATGCTTTTCGGTCACTTTCTGTTACGGGACAATCATCTAAAAAAATCCAATATGACAATCACTTATACAGATATTTTGAAAACAATATATAAATCCAAACAACAATTTTAATAAAATATTATTAAATATATTATTAATAAAATATTAAATAAGATTAAACATTATCTAAGAATGTTAGAATGTGTATTTTAAAAAAATAAATGACAAAAAGTGATTTTTTAAAAATATCTACATAAAAATAAAGGTGCTATTAAAGAATTAACCCATATATATGCATACACACACATACATATACATACACAATACACTGCCTTTTATCATTTTTACAAATAACAGTGAAGTTAACATATCCAACATACCTTCCTCTTCCTATTTTCCCCACAATAACCGAGTTGGGCTGAGAGAAAGTGAATGGCCTGACACACACACACACACACACCCACAAGCTGATTTTCATGAGTATGGCAGGACTTGAATTTACCATCTCTGCTTTCTATCCTGATGCATCAACTATGAAACCAAATCTTCTAAATATCTTCAATTCATGAAAGTCTCCTTATTTAGGCATTTGCAGTCTCATGTTACCTTGAAACATTTTAAATGGGAACTAGAAAATAATTAACCACAAAAGTTGACTCATACTGACCTCTATTTTTTATTATGCTTATCTCTCTATAAGCAGAAAATCTTAACTCATCTTAACAGAATAACCCAATATCAGAGTTGGAAGGAACCTCAGAGCTCTTCTAGTATAACTCCCTCCTCAAACAAGTGACTCTATACTAAGAGTGTCAAACTCGATTTCATTGATTGCCACATCAAGATTGTGTTTGACCTCAAAAGAGATAGTGTGGGCATGGCCAGAGCAGGCGTGGCCAACTCAACATCACTTGTGTCAGGGGTGCCTGTGATACCCCAGGAAATCTGCCAGCGAAAATGGGCTCCTGAGCTCTGTTTTCGGCTGTGACGGCCTCCTGCAACCCTCTGACAGCAAAACAAAGCTCTGTTTTTGCTGGCAGAAGCACTACAGCCAGTCCTTCGCTGTTTCCACAATCTAGTCCCCAGACATTGAGTTTGATACCCCTGTTCTATACCACTGGAGACAGATAGCTGTCCAATCTCTTAAAACCTCCAGTGATCAAGCACTCACAACTTCTGGAGGCAAGGCATTTCACGATTGTTTTTACTATCAGGAAATTAGTTCTAGGTTGGATTGCTCTTTAACAAGTTTCCATCCATTATCATCCACTCTTGGAGAATAGGTCAGTCCCTTTTCTTTGTGACAGCCACTTAAATATTGGGAAATTGCTTTAAGGTCACCCATAGACCTTGCCTCCATTAGACTACACATTTCCTGCAAATGTTCTTCATATATATTTAGCCTACAGTCCCTGATTCATCTTTGTTGCTCTTCTCTGAACATTTTCTAGGATCTCAATAGCTTTTTTGGATTTTGTGACCAAAACTGGATGAAGTATTCCAAATGTGGTCTCACTAGTGCAGTATAAAGCAGCACTAACCCCTCATATTATCTTGATATTATCCCTCTATTGATGGAGCCAAGGCTTTTGGCTTTTTTGACAACTGCAGCACACTGTTGGCTCATATTTGGTTGTCTACTAGGACTCCTAGAGCTGTCTCACATTTACTACTAATGAGCAAGTTACCACCTATCCTATATCTGTATTTTCTTACCTAAGTGTACAACCTTACTTTTCCCACTGAAATGCATTTTGTTGGACCGGGCCCAGTGCCAAAATGTCAAAATCCTTTTGGATCTTGAGCCTATCTTCTAAAGCAAAGGTATAAAACTTGCGTCATCATGGCAGGGTCACGTGACATATCAGAACACTTTCCCCCCTTCACTAAACCGTACATGGGCATGGCCAGCGCATGACATATCCAACCCAAGGGCCACAGGTTTGACAGCCCTGCTCTAAAGTGTTGGCTATTCCTCCCAGCTTGATGTCATCTGCAAATTTTATGAATTCCCTTTCTATCCCATCATCTCAACCATTTATGAAGAGTACTGTGCCTAAGACAGATCCTTGAGGTACCCACTGCATGTCTTCCTCCACATAGATGTAACTCCATTAAAGATTATATGTTGAATGCAGCTGGTCAGCCAGTTATGAATCTATCAGGTAGTAATGCTGTCTAACCTACATTTTTCTACTTCACCAAATAGTACAGGTAGTCTTCAACTTACAAACATTTGTTTTGTGTCTGTTCAAAATTACAATTAAAATGACAAAAGTGACCTATGACCATTTTTCACACTTATAACTATTGCAGCATCCACATTCAGGTGATCAAAATTCAAATGCTTGGCAACTGACTCATATTTATGACTATTGTAGTGTCCCAGGATCATTTTGATAAGCAAAGTCATTGGGGGAGCCAGATTCATTTAACAAGCTTGTGACTAACTTAACAACTGCAGTGATTTTCTTAATAACTGTGGAAAGAAAGGTTGTAAAATGGGACAAAACTCACTTACAATTGTCTCATTTAACAATGGAAAATTTGTTAGGGCAGACCTGGCATGTATTACTGAAACCTGGCTGGGCCATGAAGGAGGAGTCCCTCTCTCAGAAATGTGCCCAGAAGGCTTTCAGGTGCTCCACCAACCACGACAGAAGGGGTGGGGGAGTGGCAGCTATTATCCGGGAGTCATTAGTCCCTCGCAGGATCCCTGCTCCAGAGACAGCCGGGTGTGAGTCCCTCCTTGTGAAGTTGGACCTGGGGGGTCAAGTGGGCTTGTTTTTGACGTACCTACCTCCCAGCTGTGTCACAACAGCCCTGCCTGCACTCCTAGAGTCAGTAGCCGGACTGGCGGTTGAGTTCCCCAGACTTATAGTACTGGGGGACTTCAACCTGCCATCTCTTGTCGAACGCTCAGATGGGGCCAGGACTTCATGGCTTCCATGACAACCATGGACTTGACCCAGGTAATTCAGGGTCTGACTCATGTGGCAAGACACATGCTCGACCTTGTGTTTCTCTCGGGACAGTGGAGACGTGATCTGGATTTAAAGGGGATTGAGATCTCACCCTTGTCACGGTCAGATCACTTCCTGCTGAGGCTTGATTTTCAGAAGCTACTCCCCCACCGCAGGGAGGTGGAGCCGATTAAGTGGTTCCGCCCCAGGCGCCTGATGGATCCTTTGGGATTTCAGACGGAGCTTGGGGAGATACCTGACTCCCTTTCCCACAATCTGACTGAGTCCTTGGTCACTGCCTGGAATACAGCAGTGGCTAGGGCATTAGATCGGATTGCGCCTTTGCGGCCTCTCCGCAGCAGTGGATCCAGGAGGGCACCTTGGTTTACCGAGGAACTCTGGGAGATGAAGCACCAAAGGAGACACCTAGAGTGACGCTGGAGAGCTAGTAACTCCGAATCCGACCGAACACTACTAAGATCCTTTATTAGGACTTAT